TCATATGTGGTAACCGCGGCTTAGGCCTCGCGATATTGAATGGCTGAAGGAACTCATTCTGAGGGGTTACCCCTCACGATATTGAACGGCTGAAGAACACGCCGTTCGGCCCTTGCAACGTTCCCGCCTTTCAGGTGGAGTGTCCCACCGGCCAAAGTAAATAGGCTCTATGCGAGGGGAGACCCCCTCCTTCAGGGCCTCCCAACACGTCCGTGACTATTCTCTTCACCCCTGGGGTCCCGGATGGAGTAGCATCCCTCTCCTTCCTCTTGCGCCTTTGCAGCCTCATTTGGTGCTGCTCCACCTGGTCCAGGCTCCGTTCTTCCACTCCCTTGTCAATGGTTGCCCAGATGAGCCTCTCGCTTCCTTCCCCATACTTCGTCAGCTCTGTGGCCTCCGAGCCTGTAAGCAGCCCCAAAAATGTGGCGCACTGCGCCTCCTCATAAATCCCGTGCACTTTCCTCGCCCTTTTCTTGAACGTGTGCACAAACGCCCCAATGGTAGAGAAGTCTTCCTTGTTCATGGCCTCCAAGTCGGCCATGGTCAACAGGCCATCCCCCAGCCTATACTTCCTTTGCATTAGGTCTCCAAATTTTGCCCAACTGCCACTGGCGGCGTCCACAACCTTAGTTACCTCTCGATGGTGGCTATGCAGGACATACCTCAGGACCCGCTGGAGCTTGACCTCATCTGACAGTCCCTCCAGTGCCTGCTCTGTCAGATACAACCAATCAGATACCCGATCCCCTTTGAAGTGGAATTATTCGACCTTTGGGACATTGCTCGGCGCCCTTTCGCACCTGTCCAGGGCGTCGATGAGGTCATCGAGAGTCACAAGCTTCCTCCCACCGTCCGCCATCTCTTCTAGCATCTTGGCCAACCGCCTTCAACTTCAATCTCCCTCTTATAAGAGACGATGGGACAGAGGATCCCACTCAGCGACTCAACCTTTCAGGACCCTATCGGGTTGACCACTTTAGACACACCACACTCTAGACTTGGCAGGCACCCCTTCTCCCTTTTTGCTCATCTAGATAACGCTTATCCTTACCATAGGACTTCCTCATCCGCATACCGCACTCAGCTGTCAGCCAGACTGTCAATCAATCAATCATCCAACCCATTGTCATATAGATCACCATACAGTCCATCTCATAGTCCTTCTCTTTTCCCGCTCATATGCCTAGTTTCTCGCTTACTATCATACCCGAATGTCGTTCCACCAGGGACAACGGTAGGCTTCCATTATCCCCGGCAACGGCGCCACCTGTCGAGCGCACCGGTCCGGCACCGCACTTGGCAACGCGGGACCCTCTCGGCCGCGTCATGCAGGAGTTTGACCAACCTCGTCACGAACGTACAAAAGGAGCTTCCTTAGGCCGCTCCGGCCGAG